ATCGGTTAGTAAAGGATCACTTTCATTATAGTTGATGGAGATTGGTTTGTGAAATATAAAAGTATGACAAACAATCACTTCAAACTTCTAAAATTGGGTATATAGCTCATTGTCATCATTCCAAATCGGCTATTCTCCCTTACAAAAACCTCTCATCAAGCATGGCATACTTTGATCTGATTTTAAGAAACTAGCAAACCTTGCGAGTAAATACAGAGTCCCAAATGTGGTGACGGGAAACTCATGTCAAGAAACAAATGGTTCTGACTTGGTTTTCAGTTTTATATACACATCTGAAGGAAAAAGCCCCTTTATCCCAAGAAAATTACCGTTGTCCAACTAAGAGTTGGAATCAACAGAATACTAATAAAATGAAAGGAACTTACAAATTTCCTAAGATAAATCTGTTACTTGGTGGAAATAAATACTTCAATATCTCAGAGGAATATCAGGGAAACCAATTTTTTCCTAAATTTTCACCATATAAAAATAGAAATACAAATGCACTCACTCAAGTTAATACACACCTTGAACATTCCTTCAAGTTTGTTCGTAAATTGACTGCCGCACTCAGTTTTCAACTGCAATAACAGAAAAAAAAAAAAAAATCAGTAGCGTATAATACAAATATTTGGGCTCAGGTAACGACCCAAACAAAGGAATAGAAAGAAAGAATATAATGAAAGGGACATTTACCTTTGTAATCATTGACTTCTCAGCATCAATCGATGCACTTTTACCCAGCAAAAGCCGCTTAGCAAGATCTTTCTTATAGAATGCTTCAAATACATCTTTACCCTACACCCGGAACATTACATAGTAGCAGCTATTTAAAAATTAGGACGGAAGTATAAGCATAATCCACATTTGCCATATGCAAGCTTTACAAGGATGTGTACCTGTATAAATCTGAACAAGACCAGAACTTTGTCAAGTGTACCCTCCAATTCCTCTTCCGATGTACCCTTATTTCCAGCACGAAGCTTCTCATCGACAAACTTAGCAATTAGCTCAGCAGGCCGGTTCTGTAAAAGTGCAGAATACATTATTATTTATTAATTGATCACAGAGCATCATTTGATGAACAGTTTCAATTGGGAAATGGCTATTCTATAGGTATGAAACCTCAGGACTCACTGATGTAAATTAGAAGTCCTACTAAAATGGTATAACTATTAGTACCTGGCGGATATTAATGAGATGCTCAAATGCATCCTTGATGGTATTGCTAAACATTTCATTTTTATAGAAACTTTCTTCCCATATACTATCAAGATTAGCCTTAAATTCCAATAAGCTGGAAACCATCTCCTTGTCCTTTTCTTCATCCATGACTATACTCTGGCCTGTTCTTCGTATATACTGATTAAGGGCCTGTCTTAAGGACTCTAGGGCATTGACCCTAGAGAAAAGAACATACATTCTCTGGAGGTCATCCATTCTTTTCCCGTCCATCAGCATCATGAAACCCTACGAAAGAAGGTGAAGGGTATTAGAATCATGCATATGCAAGCACAAGAGTTAAGTGAGTGAATAACAAAAAAATAAGTCAAGAGTTAAAACTGAGTGGACGATTCAACCTTATCCAGAATTGCGGATGTATGACGCTCAAGAAGTTGCTTTTCTGCAGTGGCCACTAATGGTTTTCTTGTACTGGCGTCCAAGTAGATTAAGCATCTTTCTTGTTCTTCTTGCAACCTTACCTGGGAAAACATAGATAACCACACCCAGAATGACACAGGATTTAACCGCATAAAGCGTACGCTGATAAGAGTAAATAATGCATCAGGAATGCAAACCTCGACATGTTTTAGATAATCAGGAACATCAGCCTGTTGCATATATTTTACACCTTCAGCTGCATAAAACTCTGATGTGCCTTCAAGGAATGGCTTCTCAAAACTTTCTGGGTAGATTCCAAGTGCAGTGAACATCTTCAGAAGATGATTAAGGAGAGTTCTATCAACTGCTTCGCCTAGCCTACAAGGAGAAGCAAAATAATAATAATAGAATATGAGAAATCTCATATACCATAGTAATCTCAGGTTGATCCAATCCATTCCTGATTTGAGGAACCCACAGAAACTAATATTAACAGAGGGCATTAACAAGCAACCATCAAGATTCTGTATGTCAGCCTTATATTTAGTTACAAGACTTTGACTGTCGTACGATGCACGTAACTTCTTAAGTCCAACTAACGGATAAATAAGATCACTATAAATAATTATCTATGGGGTTTGGGGTACTTGCGGAAAAAGCCAAGATAACTTAAATTTTTCAGAACCACCCTTCAGGTTTGCTTCTGTGTAACACTTTGCCTCAATGGTTAATCGACCTGACAGACTATGCTGATATCATCAAATATTTTGCAATTACGCCTATCAATTATTCATTATATTACCAAGAAGGCTCAACTTCTTAGCTGGATATTTGTTGCACCTAAAAAACTAAGGGATGCAATAAATGCAAAACAAAAGGATGGGGTTATTCGTAACATTTAAAAAACTTCAAGGATGCAATTTCAGAAAATATTTAATGATATCTGTGATACTCATCTGCTAGCACCATAAAAAGCAAAAGCAAACGTAGAATGGATATAACCTTGAGGGTGGTATTGTAATTTAAATAAAAGTATCTGGGGCTTTCCCATAATTTATCCAGATGTTGGGAATAGTTTTGTAATTATATAAGTTAATGCTTTAAAGTAAACAGCTGAATGCTTGAAGATCACCTCTCGCTCTCAATCATTTTCAGAAGACCGAACACAGTTTTGTGCTCCACTTCCGAAGCTAGAGAGAGATGTTTGTGGAAAAGTTGCAAACCCATGTCCCATAACGAGCGTACATTGGACGTTTGCTTCACGTAAGTTCTATCAAGGTACAACGCTATACCCCGGATCATCAACATCTGGTCACAAAAGTCCTGCCAGCATTTCTCGACGAGTGATAAGAAAACCATAAGATCCTCACTTTGGCCGACCAAAGACCGTAAAGCAGAGGCAATGTAGAATTCGCATTCCTTCTCGATTCTTTGGTATAGACTTCCACCCATTTTGTGCAGGCAAAGGTCATTGACAGCCTTATGATCATATGTTGGTCATCAGCATTTTGCTATATATTAACATAAGGAGAGAAAAAAAGTAAAGCAGACGTTATTCACCTGATAGAGCTTTTCCAAGTCACATGGATTAGGTTGCTTCAAAAATATGGCACTTATAGCAGACTTCAGTGTTGCCCATGTATTCTCCTCAAAATTACTCGGCAGTGTCGGTTTGGCTTCATGAACGAGAAATTAATCATTAAATCACATGTTAATCTACAATAGTTCCCCTATAGTTTCACAATGGAAACTAATGTCAGCAAATTCATCTAATGACTAACTAATCTGCAAAATTATAGATTCTACAATCAGTAGGTAGATTGTAAGAGTTAAAAGCCATACTTTTTGAACACGAATTCACATTTTAAAGCAAAAATACACTTCAGACAAGCACTACCTACAATATTTACATTGCTTTCATGATTTTCACCGAAAATGAGAAATTTTGCTCCAAAATGTCGGACCTCTACAAGTTTACAAACACAAGTAGAATTACACACACACTACTTGACATAATTTACAGACTGGGACGACGAAGTACAATCTCAAACCAGCTAGTTAAACACAAAGAAAAAATTTAAAATTTCTACTTCAATTGGAAAAGCACAAACGCCGGACATTTAAATTCCCTCAAAGCCGGCACACTTGAAAGTGCCAAAAGCAGATCGCACAACTAGAGCAACGATATCATAAAGCAAACATCGGAAAAGAATTAAGAACCTAACCTTTAACGAGTTTAATTACGAGCTTCTTCGCAGGCTGCGGAGGTGTGGCCTTCTTCCTAGCCAAATTGGCCGTAACTCCTCCGCCGGAGGCAGGGACGCCGCGCCCAAAACCGCTGGAAGGTGATGACGCCTCAATTACCACATCGTTGGGATCGTCTTCGATCATTGGGGACAAAGCCGGCGCGTCAGAGAAGTGCACGTGGGGAGCGACCTGCTGCTGGCCGTTCCTGCTGCCATCGACCGAGCACCCGGCCGCCTGGGACTTGGCCTTCTTCATCGCCGGGAAAATTGGGGCTGTGGCCGGGCCTGAGGTGGTGGTGGCGGCGGGAGAGGCGGAGGAGTAAGGGGATAACGAGCGCTTGGTGAGGTTTGTGGAGGTGCTGGGCTGAGACATAGACGAGTGATGAAATCTCACCAAGTGCTCCTCATTTTAGGAAGTAGAGATGAATGAAGAAAAAATATTAATTTTTTTATTTTTTTTTCTGATCGAAAATGAAAAATAAATAAATAAAATTTCTTTCAGTAAAATTATCTAGATTTCTTAATTAATTTATTAATTTCGTTGGGCTTTTTTATTTGTTTTGGAGAGATACAAGGATAAGGGCTCGGGTTTGTCTGTGAAATAATCCGAGTTGGGCCTAATGAACAGTTTTAGGTGTTGGTCCATGAAATCAATCAAACAAAACATATGAAGAGAAATTTAGGGTGGGTGGGGAAAAAACACGAATTTTCCAATACCAAACTGAACCGAAATGGTCTCATTCCGAAAAATATGGAGCAGCAAAAGTTTTTGTTTTCTTTGGGTACCATTCTGAATACGAACCATTTAAAATAATATTGTTTCGTATACTTTTGTCGCGAACCGTCCTATTCGTCCCGTTTATTTACCTTGGTACTAAATATTAAATATATGCATTAGTATCATATATTTATATTAACATTATACATGTGATCCATTAATCCAAAATCTAGAATAAAAGTTCTGACATACATATAAACAATCAACAGTTTGCTTAATGAATAACATATGATTCAATGTTACTTCGTTTCCTTTCAAATAATGGTACAACTGAAAATGTCATTTATCATAAGATGGTAAAAAAACACACACAATTTAGAGCAGGCTCGAATTTTCTCGCTCAAAGTTGAACAATACAACGACTTAACGGGCCTTCACTGGAGTATTTGGCTGCCATAATCCGCATTGAATTTCTCATAACGATGCGCATGGAGATGAGCCGAAGGCCTAGTGTTCCTCAGTGCCACCTCAATGTCGCCACGCGTGATTGGTCCCACCTTCGGCAACTCTGCATGCAACACAGCATTAGTTTTAGTGCACTAAAATTGTAACTAACGCAAAAAATTACAATGCATTGTGCTCAAGTGCACGAGAACTTTCATGTTTTAACATTTGAGTCCAGCTTAAGAATATCCAACTCCTCCATTTGGTGGTAAGGATATATGTCAGAATCACATAAAGCTCTGTTTTCGCATTTTTTTTTTAAACAGTTTTTAATTATTTTTCATTTTCTTAGTAGTCTTAATTGTGTCCTACTATTAAGAAGTGTACCATCCTCAGGCACCAGTTCTTTTTCCGCCTCGAGATTTGCCATTAATCGTCTCAGTGGCTGCATTGCAGCTTCTTTACATAGTAGACGAAGATCTGAACCTGAGTAGCCTTCCGTTTTCTCCACCATCAAATCGTAAGGAAGTTCCTCCTCGGAATCTGAGGGCAACAACTCCTCGAACATGGCTCTTCTTGCTTCTGCTTCTGGAAGAGGCACGAGGATCTGCATCAGAAAGAAAAAGTACAATATGTGTATTATCCTATGCAGTTAAACTTGGGTACACCGTACATAAGAATTAGAAAGCTGTTGATTTTGCTACCATTATTACTCACGACATTAGGATTTCTAACCGGATATTAGTCCAATGGGTGGGGGTCAGTAGGTGAGATACATCTCATGTATCCAAATGAAAAATAGAAGAAAAGGAAAGTGCCAAAGAAAATATGAACCGATAACCGGGCACCACAATTTAGACAAGATTTTATATCTTATGTTTTCTGTAACGGTGGTTTTCTTCTAGAAAATGATTCACCAAAGCTATCTGAAGACAGACCCGTTTTTCGAGACGCCTAAGCATGGCAGCATCTAGCTCCCACGGTAGGTTGGTTGCTGCCAGAACAAACACGAGTTCATCTGTTTTTGTCAAGCCATCCATCTGTAGTTTGGTCCAACATCACCAAATTTCATAATAAGCAGCTGTAGTTTTCAATACCACCCAATTATTCAAAATTACTAACTATAAATTCAATCCAAAAGAAACCAATCAAAACTGAAATTTAACTCAACTCCGTTATACTCAATATTATCAATATAATTAAATAATATCAACCAATCATTCTAACGCATCACATCAACTTTAATTCACTATTCATCCACTCATATAATTTTAACTAACCATCACTTCAAATCATTTTTCTCCTACTTTTACATCAAATCAACTTCAATTATTTTATTTTAAATATTATTTTAATTTAATCTTAAATTCCACTAACAACTAACCGTACCGCCTTTATCAAAATTAACTATGCTTAACAAAAAAACCAATCAAAACCAAATCAAATCGGTATCCAATCACACCCTAAATAACTCAAGGAGGTTTATACAATTTTGAAAGATCAGGTAAACTCTTGTGATTTTGCCTAAAATTTGTTATTCACCTTACAATAATAGAACCAACAATAACCAAATCACCTGTATAAGCAACTCCGTCTTCAAACGCCTACTTGCTTCATGTTCACTCCGGCCTTCACCTCGCTGGCTGATAATGGCATCAATTTCATCCAAAAATATAGTTGATGGTGCATGATGCCTAGCAAGCTCAAACAATACTTTTACCAATTTTTCTGAATCGCCTGCAATGTAATTCCATCCTTAGTATCTTAAAGAGGAAAATGCCAAATGTTCGTCTAGCTGTAGCTGTTCACTGCGTTCTTTCGTTAACATTTAACATCTGCGATTTGTAGTTTTGAGAAAATTGATAGGTCTTTGTATCTTAATAAACATAAACCAGAATCTAGCAGACATATACTCTGCACAAAGGCAAAGAAGAAACAAATCATTGATATTCATAGTGAATTACACAGACGATGAAGCCTCATATTAGGAGAACTGTACTTGAATAGTTTTCTTAAATTTACATGCCTGGCCAAGTATAAACTCCAACGAGGCTCAAGAAAAAGGAGAGTAAAACAACTAAGCACATCATTATAAGATAGTAGCGGCAAGTAGATGCAGCCAAGAATCAACTACAGGATGGCCATAAGATAATTGAAAATTCTAACTATCTTACCCCTCCATTTGCTGACAATTGATGATGCAGAAATGTTGAAAAATGTGGTTTTGCACTCAGTTGCAACAGCTTTTGCCAGCATAGTCTGGAAATTTAGAGGATACAAAACAAGTACTGTTGTTAATTGTTATAGTCACTATTCAAGTTTTATCCTATGCGTTTGAATAAAGCAAAATTATCAACGGCAGGAGTAATGACAAAAATCGTGGAATATGGAAAAATGGGCAAAATCAAAGTAAAATGACAATAATATTTGACCACAATATTGAAGCTGAGGTCTGCACAAACTGAAAATGTCAGTGCAGTGGATATTATTTTCCAATCTTC